TGCTGAACCCAATTCAAGATGCTGTTTTTAACGTTTAAAGCTGTAAACGGCTAGTTCCTAATTTCCCGAAGGATAGCTTTCTACCCCTTCAGCCTGCCCAGGCTATAAGGTCATCAGGTGAGGCCTTCCAGTGGGTACTGTGCAACCGGAAGCATGCCCGGGAGATCCACGGGAGGCCTTTTTGGCTTCTGCCAATCTAAAGAACTCCCCCCACATCCTCTGTGGTCTTCGCAGAAGGATCTTGAAACGTTTTCTTTTTGTACAGAAAACTTTGAATGATTAAATGACTCTTTGATGAGATAACCCTGGCTATTGCAATGATTAAATGACTCTTTGATGAGATAACGCTGGCTATTCAATTATTTTATACTGTTTTGACGGCAGGCCACGTTACTCTGATGATTGGCAACTATGACATATGCCCCTTCCAGGTTTAAGTTCGTAGCGCCCTGTATGCTGATCTTAATGCCAAGGGTGTATTTCAAAGGCTGGGTTGTACTTATACCGAGTACATTTTCTTATTGTTTGTGTGTGTGCTGCCTTGGATATCTTTGGGTAAGGAAGGTGGTGTAGAAGCCAGCCAGCTCGCTCAAATATCAATGCTAGATTGTGCTGCCAACATACCAAGATAGTCCACGTTGCTCTGATGATTGGCGACCATGATGTATGGCCCTTCCAGGTTTAAGTTCGTAGCGCCCTGCACGCTGATCTTAATGCCAAGGATGTATTTCAAAGGCAACATTACGAAGCGAAGGACTCTAGGGGGGCAAGAACAGAGACGTTGTACATAGGCCATGCAGGTGAGGAACAGGAAGAAGAAGTATATGAGCAGGGTGGTGATAACAGTACTGTCCATGTTTGTGAAATTGTTCATCGATACAATTTGACAGCAGCCACAGACTCCTGGGAATCTTAGCATTTATTTTGCTTTTTAAATTCATCTTTCTAGCACATAGGGCTATTACATGAGAACTTCAGTTGCTTTAGAATATGGCAGTTCAATAACTGTCGCTTCACATATATTACTCCCCCCCCTAAAGTAATTGCTGTGGTTTCCTGTGTATTTCCCGAATTCAATTTGATATGCTGTTGTTGGTTTTTTTAAAATCTTTTGAAACCCTTCACAGCCTGGGACCTATGTACTTGAAGGACTGTCTCTCCCCCTATGTGACATCTCCAATTTCAGCAGCTCCTCCTCTTGTAAGGGAAGTCAAAGTCAAAGTGAGGGAAGTAAAATCAACCCCTGCGTGATTCTCGGGCCTCTTCTGTCGTGGCCTTTTATGTGGAACACCTATCCAGAGATTGTTAGAAATGCACCTTTCTTAAAAAAAGGAAACTGCACCAGCAAACTATGGAGGAGGGTTTTGGGGTGTTGATGATAATACTGTGCTCTGCTGATGTTTTAGATGCTGCCTGGCTTGTTGTCTGGTTTTATTATCTTGTACTATGATTTTATACTTAGAAATTGGTTGGTTTTCGATATTATCATACCCTGCTTTGGGTCCCATTTTTCCAGAGAAAGTGAAGCTTAAAGTATTTGATGGAACAAAAGTTTTTCAGCTTAAGGTAGTTTCCCTAAAACTGTACTCCTTCCCCCCCCCACACACCTTCACTTGAGCAAGGCTGCCACTTTTGGAAGAAGGACTTCTAGCCTTTTGTAGTTTTCTTAACTCTGCTAGTTAACCATTCTTAGGGTTGCCAGGTCTGGGTTGGAAAATACCTGGAGACTTTGGGGGTGGATCCAGGAGAGGGCGGGGGTTTGGGGAGGGGAGGGGCCTCAGCATGGAACAATGCCATGGAGTCCACTCTTCAAAGCAGCCATTGTCTCCAGGGGAGCTGATCTCTGTCAGCTGGAGATCTGTTGTGAAAGCAGGAGATCTCCAGGCCCCACCTGGAGGCTGGCAACCCTGACCATTCTGGAGTTCCTTGTGTTTGTGTAGTGTTGCCAGCAGGCCCGGAGAAAAATGTCTTCTCCCTTTAAGAGGGGCTTAATGTGTGGAAGTTGGCAATGGCAGCTGAAGCTGAAGCAATAGTCTACTCACCTCATATTTGCCACATTTCTTCCCCGGAGAGCCACCACAGGAAGCACGAGGACGGACATGCCCAACATCCAGCCAATTAAAAAACAAACCCGAAAGTAATATCGAAAAGTGTTGCTGTACTGATAGAGGAGCAGGGCCCCGACGAAGAAGAGGATGAAGTTGGTGAGGGCTAGGGACAGGGCCATGGTGACTCCGAGCAAAGAGCACCGTGGAGCCGGCCTCCTCACAGCTCGCCTCCGCAAAAGTGTCACTGTGTCAAGACTGCAGAGAGCCAAGCGGCCTAGCTGGGTGTGGGATACCGCAAAAACAACATGTTCACACAAGTACAAGCAGCCAGGGGAGGGTGCTCATTGTAACTTTCATGCCTACGTTGGTGGGGCGGGGTGCTGTGGGAGGCGAGGATTTGCATAGAGGCCGAGCATATAACTTTTGGGACACAGAGCAGAATGAAATGAGGAGGGTGCAGTATTCCCTCAGTCCAGCAGAGGTGCCAGAATGTGACTACTTAAGTTTGACTCAAGAAGACAAGGGGGCTGTATTTTAACTGGATGCTGCTTGGCCTACTGTTCCCATATCTTTCGCAACCAGCTGCTCTGTAGAAATCTGGTGACACTCTCACAGCAGGCCTGCAATCATGTTTTTATCCTGGGCAGCCGATGTGGTTCTCCCCTCCTCCACCCATTTTTTCCACACAACAGCCCTATGTGGAAGGCTGGACTGAGTCACTGGCCCAAGGTCATCCTGTGAGTTTTATAGTTGATTTAGGATCTGAACTCCCATCTCCCCAGTCTTGGTACATTTCCTTCACATGATAATTTCAGAGGAGTAGCTGCGTTAGCCTGTTGAAGCAAAATGACACAGCAGTCCCAGTGGCACCTTAAAGACTAACAAAAATGCATTCCAGCACAAGTTTTTGTGAGTCAGAGCTCACTTCATTAGATGCATGAAGTTGCATCCATAGGAGATATTTTTACATATGTACATGCTACACATCTGATAAAAGTGAGCTCTGTACTTCAATAAAGTCTTTAAGGTGCCACTAGACTTTAACAGCTCTCAGCGATAATGGCTGTACAAGGCACATGTCTTTATGCGCAAGTGCTTTCATGTTCAAATGGTTCGAATTTCTTCTTTCACGCCCTTGAAAAGGCTGTCAGTATCTTCTCCTTCCATACCCACTAAAATGTGAGTTAGTTTGCTGGAGTACTGTAGGTGTTTTGTCTCGGGTGATAACAAGCCCTTTAGCAATCTTTAATGACTGTGAGCCTTCTGCACATCAGACAGTATGGCAGCTCTGAAAGATACCTAGAAGTATTCAGTTTTTAAAACATAGATTTCAGAATTTGTTTACAGATTAAAGTAGATAAAAATAATAATCTTGGACTGCATCCTATGACTCCCTTCTACTAAGCCAGATCCAGTGACTGATTCTCTTCTGGTAAGTCTTCTCTCATGGGGGGAATGACCTTTTCTGATGCAGAAATGATTCCTCTGATGGGGCAAAGTCTTTGTTGAAGGAAGACTTGGTGGGAGCAACAGACAATGTTAAGCTGAAGGGAGTCATAGGACCTAGCCCCTTGTAGAGCTTGTATTTTTACTTCTGTGTAAAGAGGTAAGAGACCCACAGGCAGGCATCATCCTTCACCACATTATGGGGCAACATGTGTTCCCAAGCTGTTCACTTTCTCTAAGATTTCGGAGGGATCGTAGACTCTTCTTGTTGAGCTGACATGGGAAATCCTTGCACTGAAATGAATTTCATTTGAAAGGAAGCCTGCACCTTTATGCACACTTGATTGGGAGTAAGCTCTATTGAAACCTGTAGGACTTTTCAGAAGAACAGGTGATATGAAACACCTCTGCCCAAGACCCTGGAGAGTCACAGGCGGTCTGAGTAAACAGTACTGACTCTGATGAACCAGTGGTCTGATCAGTGTAAGGCAGCTGTGTGTCATGTGTGTGTCGTGTCTTGAGAGAGGGGGAAAAGGAGGAAAATCATTAACAAACTGAAAAGTTCCCCAGTTTGTCGCTGATGTCAACATTTAATCAATCTTCCCTTTTTTAAAAAAACTTTCCTCTTTTTATTTTGTTCACAGTTTGGAAATTCCACAAGAAAATCCATCAGCATTAATAATAAAAAAACATGACCAACTTTACACTTGATACAAAAAAATTCCCATCAATGACAATAATAATAATAATAATGACAATAATTAAAAAGGCAGTCATGTGCATATGTATGAGAAGCTTGTCAGAGTTTTGGGCCATTGAAATCCACAATAGTGATTATAATTTTGAAATTGTCCACATTTTGAACTCAGAGTACTTAGGAGCCTTTTCCCAACGAAGACACACTACAGTACACATATTTTGCCCCAAACTCATACAGCTTCAGGCCAAAGGCTGTGATCTCTTCAGGACAAGAGTTGTAGTTGGAGCTGTTTAGAGAGAAAAGGCACATGTTCCTTGCCACACACACCCGTGTGGAGGCTGGGCTTTGGGTTCTGTCCTCAGCATCCCATCCCCCCCCCCTTAGCCTATCTTTTCAGTCTAAGTGTGAAGTCCAGTGGTCCTGCCTCCCCAACCAGCATCTCTCATCTTCCCTTTCTCTAAATGTTCAATATACAGCACCAAGGATGTTGGTTATTTTGCAGGGATTGGACACAAGGCCTGCCTTGCTCAGCAGCATGAAGGCCAAAAGCAAGAAGACACAAAGGAATCAGGGAAACCGATTCTGGAGTTGGCAACACTGATAAGGGCATAGGTACCCTTAAACAACTTTACAGCAGTTTTATACCAAGTTTCACTGTCACGGCTTCTCCCAAAGAATCCTGGGAACTGTAGTTCAGTGAGGGCGATGAGTGTTCCTTGTTAGACATCCCAAATCCCCTTGACCTACTCAGCACATGTAGCAATATGGTAAAAGATGGCAGAGTGGGCTACACCATTTCAGATTGGAAGGGGTGGGGGAGAGTGGTGCCGGTTTTGAATGACCCTCCATGTTAAAGTTTCCCACTGTGTTATGTACACGGACCGCCACCAGGGGTCTGCGGCTAAAGCAGGAGCTTGGTCCCCAAACACAAAGGGGACCTAGGATCCTAGTCCACCTCGAGTCCACCAATAGCACCCTTGGCGGGAAATTCAAACCCTCCCATGGGGGGACAGAGGTGTGCCGGGTGGGGTGTATATAGTTGGCCTTGCAGGGCCGTTTTTCCTTGTCTTGTTGTGAAGTACAATAAACGCGTCTGAACGCATGTCGTAGTCCGAGTTCTCCCAGTACTTTTCACTCAGGTAACAAAGTAGCCTATTAGGAAGAAAAGGTCTAGCCTCGCCTTCTGCCAGTTCTGCTAGTTTTTTACTTGCAGGGAAGGCAGTCGCAATAAAAGGTATTATGTGGCTTTTGTTCATCTGTCTTATATTATGTCGCTTTTGTTTTTGTATTTTACTATGGGGCGAGATAGATACCTTTTCAAAACTCCAGGGAGCTTCCCCTCCCGGTTGGAGCAGCTTTCAAAACTACTCTACAGGTAAGATTGTCCTCTCCTCCATTTTGTCCTTGCAAGTTTGTGAGGTAGGTTATTCCCACCTGTGGAATCTGACGTGGTCTAGTCCACTCTGTTCCCTGAGAACTCTTCCGTGCTCCTCCCCACCTCGTTCTCCAGTCCTCCTAAGGGAATGGGACTTGCTGTTAAACCAGCTGAAGCCTGTTGCACAGAGACGCCCAAACAGAAGAAGGGGCAGGAGCAGACAGGGGTGCTCGTGCGGAACTAGAGCAGGGGAATGAGAAAAGCGCCTAAGAGCTGCAGCCCTGTGCAAACTTACGTGGAAGAGCAAGACCCACTGAACTCACTGAGAACTGACTCCTGATAAAAATGCCTCAAACTGGACAACAAGAGCCAAAGAAAAGGTAGATGAGAGGAGTTGGGAGGCAGCAGAATAAAGGGGGGGGGAGACATTGTGGACTGGGAGGCAAATTATCAGGAGAGAAATGCCCAACCCACCTGCTGACTCAAAAGATGATGGCCCTAAAGCTGGGAAGACGCTTCACAGATCACCATCTTTTACTCTGGAGTGACTACCACTCCCGTTTCGAACTTGGTAAAGACTCAGGCCGGTTAGAATCACCATTCCTGACTCCCATACAGTTCGTTTCCTCTTCATATATTTTGGTCCTGCCCCTCTTGTTCACATGAAAGTGGTGCTGAGAAGAGGAATTTCGTGCACTGGTGTAAGCTCTCTCACAATCATATGCTCATCCTCCCCTCTGATCTGGATAAATCCGGAGCATATTCACCAACCAACCCCCCCCCCATTAGGACCACCTCCACATTCTTTATGCCCCGCTGAGGAAAGGAGAATGTGGTCCCTGTCTCATTTTGGAGCATCTTGGGGTTTAACGGGGAGCTCATCTGTGTGATCTTGTGAACGGGATGGTTTGAGAGGAGCAGGACGGAAGCAAGTGGGTGGCAGAGGCTGCTGGTCACAAGCGCAGACCAGAACTCATGACCAGAACAGTTAGGAGGTTCAGATTTTGTTAGGCTATACCATTTCAGAACACAGGCAGGAGGACTGAACGCTTGAACATTCTCACCTTCTGAAGAAAAAACAACCCCTCCGTATTCAGACCAAATAACCCTATCAAGGCAAAGGCTTCTAACAGTGTGACATGCGTCTCCCAGGCCCAAGAGTACAAGGCTCTTCTATTGTTCACTGCACAACAGGGAAAGCAACCCCCCGACGAGAGGAAGGCTTGCCCGCCCGTGGGGAGAGGCATTCAACACAGGGTTATGTAGATGTGTATGGCAACTTGTGGCACTCGTTCATTTGTTAGGGAAGTAGGGTAAGAAGGCCAAGTTGGCGAGAGGCAGTGGGCCAGGAATGGAGCGAGCCTTTTGGAAGGGAAAGGCCTAGTTTATTAGGGATGAAGTCTGAACACTGCCCGGAGCAGGAGAAGGGAAAGACGGGTGGGAAAAGCCCCGGGACGGAAAGGAGAGAGACCAGGGCAGGTCCAAAGAAGGGATGGGGAGGGACGATGGAGAGGAGGGGAAGGAAGGCAAGGTTGGAAGAGAGCTGGGTGAGGGGTAGGAAGCAGAGAAGGCTGAGGAGGAAAGTGGAGCGGCAGGCTTGGCAGCAGCAAGCAGCGTGGCAGGGGCCATGCCAGCAGAGGCCTTGTCGTTGCTGTGGGTGCGCTGGTGGCGGTTGAGGTGGGAGCTGCGGCTGAAGCATTTGCCGCAGATGCTGCACTTGTAGGGCTTCTCCCCGGTGTGGGTGCGCTGGTGGATGGTGAGCTCCGAGCGCTGGATGAAGGCCTTGCCGCAGTCCCCGCACGCGTAAGGCTTCTCACCCAAGTGGGTGCGCTGGTGAGTCAGCAGGTTGGAGCTGACGCTGAAGCACTTGCCGCAGGTGTCGCAGCGGTACGGCTTCTCACCGGTGTGCATGCGCCGGTGGATGGTCAAGTCCGACTTCTGAATGAAGGCCTTGCCACAGTCCATGCAGGAGAACGGCTTCTCCCCTGTGTGGATGCGCTGGTGCTTGACCAAGGCCGAGCGCTGGGCAAAAGCTTTCCCACAGTCCTCGCACTTGAAGGGCTTCTCAACGGGGGGCACCGGCAACTGCAGTGGGACTTTGCCCAGGCTCTTGCCGCAGTCCAAGCAGTGGCCGCTGCGTGTGAGACGCCCCTTGCTGCTGTAGAGCTGGTGTTTAAGAAGCTGTTTGCCCCCGGTGCTGAGGAGCAAGCCCTTCACATGCTCGGGGCAGCGATGTGCAGCAGCTGCAGCAGCCTGGGCCTGGTGGACTCTCTGGTGCCGGTCGAGATGAGAACTCACCGAGAAGCCCCGGCCGCACTGAGCACAGGTGTAGGGGCGCTCACCAGTGTGCACACGCTGGTGGCGTTCCAGATCAGATCGCTGGATGAACCGCTTGCCGCAGTCGCTGCAGGGGAATGGGCGCTCGCCGGTGTGAATGCGCTGGTGCTGTGCCAAGTTGGAGCTGCGGCTGAAACGCTTGCCGCAGGCGTTGCACGGGTAAGGGCGCTCACCAGAATGAGTCTTGCGGTGCTTGGAGAGTGCCGAGCGCTGGCCGAAACACTTCCCACAGTCAGGGCAGCGGTGAGCAGACAGGGCTGGGGCAGCGGCAGGGGGCTCCTCTTGGTGATGGTGCGTGTGTGTGCGCCTGTGCCGGTCAAGGTGGGAGCTGACAGAGAAGCGCTTGCCACAGTCTTGGCAAGAGTACGGCCGCTCCCCTGTGTGCACGCGCTGATGCCGCTCCAGGTCCGATTTTTGGGTGAAGGCCTTGCCGCAGGCGGCGCAGGGGAAGGGGCGCTCGCCTGTGTGCACACGCTGGTGTTGTGCCAGGTTGGAGCTGCGGTTGAACCGCTTGCCACAGGCTGTGCACGGATAGGGTTTCTCGCCTGTGTGTATCTTTTGGTGTTTGGCCAGGATGGAGCGCTGCCGGAAGCAACGTCCACACTCGGCACACTGATGCGGTCTCTCTGGCGTCGGCATATTGTGGCCTCGCCCACCACCACCCAAGTTCTTCTTCCCACACTCAACACAGACCCCTGGTCTTTCTGCTGCAGCCGAAGCTGCAGGCAGGTCTTTTAGCTTTCGGGATGTCTTCTCCTCCCTCTGTAGTACAGTTGGCACCTGTGGCAGCTGCTGTTCCTCTGAGTTGAGCTGGCCCTGGCTGTCAGTGGTGTTACCCTCACCTGGGCTGTCAGATGTCCCCAGTTGGGAACCTGGTGGCTCCACCTTCTCTGAGCTGTCCTCTTCTGCCTGTAGCTCCTCTTCGTTCCCATCAGCCACTGTAATTGAGATGGGGAGATGAAAGACAGCGTGACCATCTGAGCACCAAGGCATTTGTTCCTTCTACAGTTGCTACCCACTGCTCCGTTCCCTCAATCTCTACCTTTAGGTTTTCCAGGTAAGCTTGGTTAGTCTGGGCATGCTTAGGGCACTGTTAAGAGGGTATTTTCTGACCATCGGAGTTGTATCACTCATTGCTTTGCCATCCTGCTTCCAGAAATCAGGCCAGAAGACATTTTTTGCTCACAAGACTCCACAGCTTAGAGGGATCATTGGTTGTATCACTCATTGCTTTGCCATCCTGCTTCCAGAAATCAGGCCAGAAGACACGGAGAAGCAGTCCCAGTGGCTGCTGCCACCTGTGAAGATCTTTCCCCTCTGTGGCAATCGTCTACACCCAAGCATTTTAGAGCAGCCATGCAAGGCTTTTAATTCTTTCACTCCCCTGTCAGGAGGAGGTCGCGACCTACCCCCTCCTGCCTATGCAGGATTCTACCCCATCAGCTATCGCACCTGGGGGTCAGCAGCTCCTCGACCCTTCCTCGGAGGGCCGGGAGTGTGGACCTCATACCCACGAAGAAATGGAAACCCAACTAAGGGGGGAGGGCGGGGGTGCAGTAACAGTTGGGCCAGACGACAAGGGCCCAATAGGTGGGAAGCCGGGTGGATGGTGGTGCGGGTACTTTAAATGGTTGTTGGAAGGAAACAGGGGGGGAGAAATTGAACGAATAAAAAGGAAACCTTCAGGTGGAACCGGGGAGGAGGAGGATGGCAGGAGCATGTGTGGAGACTGAGGGGAGTGAATTAACTCGGACCGGTCAAACATCTCCTCCATCGTTTAGTGAGGAGTGGAATTTAAACTCTACTAAACAATTCTGAGGTACGCCTAAGACGGTTCCCAGTTCGGTTCCCTGCATCCTGGCTTCCTTCCAAGAACTCCCCGAATCAAGTCAACAGACGAAGCTTGACATCCCCCTTCCCCAGTCTATGTAGATGTGACAGATTGCACTTTTAAAGGCGTAGAAGTGCTGTGTAAACAGATAAAGAACTGTGAAGGGTTAATTCTTCTCAGAGCCAGAGAGACTTGAGTGATAGGCTGCTTCAAGAGATATGATTGGTTAGCATCAGATGAGCAGAGAAAGACTTCCGAACTGGATGCTGAGGAGAGTTCAATCTGATTTCAGCCTTAGCTGAGAGGAGTTTAACTCAGAGGGAGAACTGGGGGAAAGTTGGCAAGGAAGTTTGGGAAGTAGGCAAAGACTCCCATTCGGGCCAAGGAAAGGGGATAAATCTTCAGAGAGAGAAGAAAATTCCCTACCCAGTCAAACAGGGAATTAAGCTCTGAAGAGTGGAGAGATCCCTGGTCTGGTGTGGTTAGAAACTGCCTTTAGAGACCTTAAGAGTCAGTTAAAAACTCAAGACGAGTACTAGTGTACCAGCCTTCTGGAAACCAAAAGAGTAAGAGAATACTCAAATAAAGTGTACTGGAGTGTTTGGGGAAAACACTGGAACAAAAGCCTCTCAACATAAAGATTTCAGTCATTGTGAAAAGCTTAAGAAACTCTTATTAGCCTGAAACATAAGAACTAAAGTCTGTGCATTTGCTGGTTTTACCTCAGAAATTTCAACCCCTGATTTAACCTGACCTTTCCCCTTTATGTTAAATAAAATATTTTGTTATTTTTGAATTTCCAACCCCCTTGGGTGCCATTTAAGTGATCCTTCCCTCAGGTTCCTGGGCTGAGCCAACAGCCAAAATATCATAAGAACATAAGAGACGCCAATGTTGGATCAGGCCAAAGGCCCATCTAGTCCAACACTCTGTCACACAGTGGCCAAAAATACCAGGTGCCATCAGGAGGTCCTCCAGTGGGGCCAGGACATTAGAAGCCCTCCCACTGCTGCCCCCCAGCATATGATTGACTTTGTGGGACAGCCAGCGTTCTTCAGCAAAGAAGAAAACACATTACTGGGGTGGCTCAGTTAGAAAAGTGAAAGAAAAATGGAGGGAAAATCTTGCCTCTGAGGGAAGGAAGTGGATGGGGCCATCATAGTAGACTTTTAACAGCTGGAAATAATTTGGATGAATTTCCATTGCTTTCACTATGCGAACCTCCCTGAGCCTAAGGGAGAGATGCTATAATCACATTGTTCCACATTTGTCCAGGGTGCAGAAATCAGCATCCCGAGCATTGCAACTTGCTTCCTTTGCTCAAAAACAATCCCCCCCCCCAGTTTTTTAACTGTATTTTCTGTACCATTTCATCTATTGAAGTCTCAGCAACCAGACTTGGCAGGAGCTATAAGGAAAGGGAAGCTTCAAAGCTGTGCACCGTTATTTGCAAAATTGGTTTAATTTGCATATTTATACAAATTGTGCAGATTTGGTCTTTTTTAATGCAGGAATATGCTTTTTTTTTTTTAAACACAGAGGAGTACAATTTTCTAAAAAACATACATAGCATTCTCAGTCCAAATGAACCTTTGTAGCATAGCTGCGGTGGCTCAAGTGGCAGTTCGAAAGCAAGACATTGCAAGTAGATAAATAGGTACCACTTCGGTGGGAAAGTAACAGCGCTCCGTGCGCCTTGGTGTTTAGTCATGCCGGCCACATGACCACGGAAACGTCTTCGGACAGCGCTGGCTCTTCGGCTTTGAAACGGAGATGAGCACCGCAACCCTAGAGTCGGATTCGGCTGGCTTTCGAGCAAGGGAACCTTTACCTTTACTTTAGCATAGCAATGAAAAGAATAAGTTCTGCTTGGGGAGGTTGTTAGTTAGCTTAAAACTAACTAGGTAGCACTATGGGGCTAGTAATGCTCGCCTAACTTACAGGGCTATGCTAAGATGACGATCATTTGGTGCAAAACACTTTGAACACCGCAAGTGCTATATAAATAACACCTATCTCTCTAGCACTTTTCTATCCCGCCTTTCTTCCAAGGAGCTCAGGGTGGCGTACGTGGTTCTCTCGCCCCATTTTATCCGCCCAACAGCAACCCTGTGAGATAAGGAGCTGAAAGAGAGTGCTAGAGAGATATCTGTAGAGTCTGCCATTTTATTCTTCTTCCCAAAAAGCAACTTGGTACCAGATGTGGCAGAACAACAAGGGACCTGGGGCATTTCTGTGTAACAGCCTGGATTAGCTAAGGATTTGCTCCCTCTCCCATAAGATTTTGCAGGTTTTGCTATTGTCATCTCGCAAGCCTCGCTCTAGCCTGACAATGCACGCTGCTCTAAAAATTTATTTAGAATAGTTTACATTTCTCTAGGTCTGTCATTTCACCCTCATACTGTGTCAACGACTCCTAGTGGGAAGGTTTGTAGCTTCTGACCTACAACATACTTGCTGAAGCAGGCATCTGTGCTTCCAATGAGGTCACAATAAAGTTTACACATAACATCTTTGACTGTCTAGGGTAACTAGGGTATGAGTTCACCGTGAAAATTGTTCTCTTTATTTTGATATTCTTCTGTTATGTGTGTTAACCTTACGTCATCCATGTGGGCTGAACCTATGGATACTGAGGGTATAAACTGTTGCTCTGGGCTGGTCATCAATCAGTTCTCTGTGAGCTCTTCTTGACTAGACCATGCCGCTCTGGATTTCAAACTAGTGCACTATGTTTATGTTGAAGTATTCTATACTGAATATGGGAAAGTTACGTTTTTATCCTAAACGATTTGTAAGTGCTAAAGTGCTTTCTGTCCTTAAAAAGCTTATATTGTAATAAACTGGTTTTGTTTAAGAACTGTGGTCTCTCTATTGGTTCAGTCTCTTGCCAGTCTCCACCCAACCAATAAAAGAACTAAAGGGGAATGGGAGGGTCTCAGGGAAATAGTCCTGGGGTCCCAGAAGCTCACAACACCAGGTCAACCCAGCACAGCTTTATCTATTCAGGTCTGTCCAGCATTCTACAGAGGAAGTAAAACACGAGGCCTTACAGGGCCTGAAACATCCCCCCCTCCCATTTTTGTGTGTTAACAGCCAACTGATGAAGAATTCTGCATAACTTGGAAGCTTGATCACTTGGTGGTGGTTCTTAAAATGCATCCCATGGCTTTTACAGTTAGATGTTAATTATCTCAAGATTACCCAGCATGAAAGTCAAAGCCCGTTTGCAAGCTGACGGCCCACATACAGATGGTTAGCTATGAATATAAATGTGTAATGAGTCTGTTCAGCAAAACTGATGATGTAAACTTTGGTCAGCCGGTGTCCTCATCACAGGATTAGCCATGAGTGCAATTAGCTTTCTGACCAGCTGATCTCTTTCTGAAAGAAATCCCTACATGCTTTCTCAAGTTGAACTGAAAAGGTTAGTTTCAGGAAATAATTCATCTCCAATTTACAGCCACTTATTGCCAGGAGTGTTACATCTGGACGACAGGTAATATGTTGTAATCATTGGTGGAAAATGCCATCAAGTTGCAGCCCACATATGGCGACCCAAGGCAAGACACAAACAGAGGTTGCTTGCCATTGCCCGCCTCTACCACCCTGGCCTTCCCTGGTGGTCTCCCATCCAAGTACTGACCAGGGCCAACCCTGCTTAGCTTCCAAGATTTGATGAGATCCAGCTAGCCTGGGCCATCCAAGTCAGGGCCAATAAAACTCATATGATTATTTTTTTTTAAATGTAAAACAAGCACTGGAGGCCCCAGTGAGCAAGTTGCTCCAGTGTCAAGTTACTCTAACAGTTTGGTGTAGTGTAGTGGTTAAGTGCGTGGACTCTAATCTAGGAGAACCGGGTTTGATTCCCCACTCCTCCACTTGCACCTGGCTGGATGACCCTTGGGCAAGCCGTAGTTCTGATAAGAGCTGTTCTTGAAAAAGAGCATTTTCTGTCAGAGCTCTCTCAGCCCCACCTACCTCACAGGGAGTCTGTTGTGGGCAGGGGAAGGGAAAGGAGTTTGTAAGCCGCTCTGAGACTCCTTTGGGTAGTGAAGGGCAGGGTATAAATCCAATCTCCTCTTCTTCTTCTACAACCAGTACATATAATAAGGTCAAATGGCGCTGCTATCTATTAAAAAGACACAGAGGCGGAGGATACGCAAGAGTCATGACCTAGTCCCTCTGCCCTCCCTGCTGGGCATTACTCTTTATTTCCAATGAATTTCACACCCTGCCCCTTCGGCACGTGTGACGCGACCCGCCCACCTTCATCTCTGGGGCTCCTGAGTGCCTTCTTCCGAGGTCTGCGCTTCCCATCCTGGCTCTGCTCCTTCACCAGCTCCCGCAGCATCTTCTCCACCTGGCTCCTGCCAGCAGTCTGCAGGATGAGGCCCAGCTGCCGCCGCAGGTCAGAATTTATTCCACCTTCACTTGGACCCGCCGCAACTGAGTCTTGCACCGGAGCCTGTTCCACTGGGCCTTGTTCAGGCTCTGTCTCTGCAGCACAAAAGGTCAAAATGAAAACGGGCAAGGAAAAGGCTTCTCAGCTGAGCTGGTCAACTCACTAGGTCTGGGCAAATGAGGAACAAGGTGATCATAGCATCTAGCCAGCCCTGTCTGTCCCTTAGGCTCAGGGAGGTTCACATAGTGAAAGCAATGGGAATTCATCCCAATTGTGCTTCAGCGGTTGAAATGTCCCACAGCCCTCAAGGTTTGCACCCCCCCCCAGGCTCACATTACAAGCTTCAGGAGCTCATAATGCTCACAATCAATGCCAAGGCAAGTCTTACAACCACAAGTTCTACTTCAACTAAGACTGCACTTCTGAACTGAAGAATTACTCCCCCTACCCCCTTCTGCCTGGTATCCCGAATTATCTGACCGCTAGGGCTGGCAGTGGCTGACCTAGCCAATTTATGAATGAAAACAGAAGTAGAAAGTGGATTTCTCTAATGCTGTGCATTCTAGTGATTACATTCATCAGGTGCCACCACTGAGAAGGCCCTTTCCTAGGGTGCACCTAAGGAAGGCGCCGCAGGCTAATCAGTGCCCACAGTACTGGGGAGGTGAACTATGCCTGGAAATAGACTGGATGCCGTTGCAGATCTTTTAAGACACATATAACATGAGCACTGTTAGATATACCTGTCAGCACCATGGCTACAGCTTTATGAACCAGAAGTCTGATGGACCAAAAAATCTTCAAGGGCAGACCCATGTAGAGTGCATTGCAATAGTCCAGTCTTGAAGCAACCAAGGTATGAATGACTGTGGTTAGAACATTTCTCTCCAGGAAAGGGTGCAGGTGGTGCACCAACTGATGCTGCCAGAAGGCACTGTGTGCCTGGGATGGGGGGAATGCAGCTCTCCTTCCTGTGCTAACTTACCAGACGTCAGTCCTCTCCTTCTGTGGGACTCAGCAAAAGCAGTTATCCTGGGCCAGCTGATTGCAATCTCCTCCGCTGTGGATGGGAGAAGTGGAGGGTGCAAGTTAGAAAAAAGCTATGAAGACCTGGGCAGTGCATAGTCATTAAAGGGCCACTTTATCTTTTGGGGAAGAAATGTGACATCAAATTAATATGGTTTTACGCAGAGCTTTGAATGTAAAGCTACTGTTAAGGTAGGCTACCTTTCAGTGACATGGGGATCTCAACTTCTAAGGAGCAAAGGTCACAGAGGACAGTCCTAGAAGCCAACTGTTTGGTGTTAATGGCTAAGATACATATGAACTCACTACACTTCAGACAACGGAATGGGAGCACTGGCCCCATGGAGAAATGCCATCCGCTCTGGGATGGCTTTTTTTTGGTCTTGGGGCAGGAACTGACTGCCGTCTTGTGTCAACCAACCTGCCGGCTAAGGTTGTTATCCACGACCTTGTTCCTTATGTTCCTACCTGCTGAGGTAAAGTTGGGGGAGACCAGAATTGGGGTTTTCTCAGGGATAGTACTTAAGTTGTGGAAAACCCTCCTGCCAGAGATTTAGTTTGAAGTACAAATCTTAGGTGCCAGCGGAAAACATTTTTCTTTGATCGGGCTTTTCAAACACATGAAGCTGCCTTACATTGAGAGAGAGACCATTGGTCTATCTAGGTCAGTACTGGCTACTCTGACTGCCAGTGGCTCTCTAGACTCTAAGGTAAAGGTCTTTCACAATAACCTTCTGTCTAATCCTTTTAACTGGAGATGCCAGGTATTGAACCTGTGACCTTCTGCACCCAAAGCAGATGCCTCTACCGCTGAGCCATGGTAACAATGGTATGCCTATGGACCGGCCTTGCTGAGATGCTGTTATTGCTGAAGTTATTTAATGACACACTTAACTTCCTGCATGCTGAATTTGCTCTCTGCATTTTTATTCTGTATTTTTACCCTGCTCTTTTATTCATGTTTTTTTGGTATTGTTTTAGTGTTACTTCGGTGTTCCTTTAATGATTTCATTGTTACCTGGGGATATTTTATAGAGAAGCAGCAAATAACTTAATCCGGAAGTAAAGCAAACATTAATCGTAAAGCTGGCTTTGTTGGGAATGCAGAGTCAGAGGAGAGATGGAATGTATGTGTGTGATCATTCTGTCTGTTCAAAACATTATTGGATAATGTGTTATGTACTGGTGTCTGAACTGTAGTGCCATTCTTGTTTGACTTTTATACAGATACAACATACAAGTGCATATAGAGGGCCCCCTGATCTCTCCCGCTTTGTAGGTTCTGCTCCCGAACCTCTTCTATAGATGCAATCACAGGAAACCTTCTTTGTCGCTGGTTCCCATGCCACCAACTCGACAGCCCCAGATCCTTCTCTTCAGGACAGGCAAAGGGATTTCTTTTGCATCCCTTTTACCCAGTCTCTGCTTCCCCCATCCCGGTTCCAGCTTTTTATCTCTGTCTTGATCCAGATAGCCCAGGCTACCCCGATCTCATCAGATTTCAGAAGCTAATCAGGGTCAGCCATGGTTAGTATTTGGATAGGAGACCACCAAAGAAGTCCAGAGGTCATTCCGCAGAGGCAGGCAATGGCAAACCACCTCTGAACGTCTCTTGCTTTGAAGACACTACAGGTTGCCTGAAGTCAGCTGTGAGTTGATGGCATTTTCTACCACCAGGTTTTGATCTTGAATAGGACACTGAAGTTTACTTGTTTGTTACGTATCTGTCTCTCTTCTGATATTTCCCTTTTGAACGGGGTTGTTGTGTCAAACTGGGACTGGTGAAAACCCTAGACTGGACAATCTGCAGTTTTTAAATTGAATTCTACACCTCTAGAGGACACTTCGCGTATGACAGCCTGACACGAGGACTGATGATCAATCCCGATTGTTACAAACAAATTCAAGAGAGAAGGATTTATTTGGCATAACCCCCTCTAACCTAAGCCTGTGTTTTTACTAATACATTCTGATATCTGGTAAAAAGGCATTCTTACCCAATGAGATCACATTCTCATAGTTCTCTTGCATGATGTCACTCTCTGGGAGATGCAAAAAAGTACTTCTGTAGAGTTGCCAACTTGTGAACCACGTGGCAGAACTGCGGAGAGAGAGGAGTTAAATCTCCTGGAGACCTAGAGGATCCCTTTCTGTGTTGCATGGGAAGGCAGGAGACTCGGTGGGGTGGCATACCAAAACACCGGGTTCAAAACACAACATTAGAACTTTCCCAAAAACTACTCTGTCAAGTGACTGCCCTGTCAAGAGAACCTATCCTGTGTAGTACATTTGAGGGTGTGACTTTCATTCTTAGCAATGGGCATATGCTCTCTAGGTACCATAAAAGTGTGGCAAAGCAATCGGTGCCTTTCCCTCAAAAAGTTTCCATCCCCGATGGACTGCATCTTGTCACAGGCTCAGGATGCTTCCTAACAGAGGTACACCAGGAAAGCCAGCATGATGTAGTAGTTTGAGTACAGGTCCAGGTTCGAATCCCCCCTTTCTGCCATGGAGGCTTGCTGGGTGATTTTGGGCCAGTCATACACACTCAGACTGACATACCTCACAGGGATGTTGTAAGGATAAAATAGGGAAGGGGAGAATGTTGTAAGCCACTTTGGATCTCTGTTTGGTCCCTAAAAACCTACTCTTCTTCATCTTCTTCTAATGGGGGGAGGGGGAGAAGTGTAGTGTAGTGGCTACAGGTTAGACTTAGCACACAATCTCTCAGCCTAATCCACCTTGCAGGGCTGTAGTAAGGGGGGGAGTTGAAACACCTCATATATTCCATTTGAAGAAGGGTAGTATGGGGCAAATGTATTAAATAAATAATGGAAGGAGAAGGACCCATTTGGTAGAACAGCAGCTTCCTGGTTTTTCTGCAGAATCTAAATGCCATCTGGAAGCTTACACAACGAGAGATTTGGAAATTGAACTTAGAGTGCATTGTTATGGGCCTAGCCCTTTTCAGAAATTACACCCACTCATGTATTGGGAATAAATGCTCTCCATGATGCTCTCTATACATGCTGTTGCCATTAGGTGGAACAGGGCAATGAACGTATTTTGCATGCATGTACAGGTTCAGTATGCATGAACCAGAAACCTGGGAAATCCAACCATTGGTTTTTTGTATGCCAAAATATGTACATTGCTCTGTTCAGATGACTGTGCATAGCGGGAGCATGACAGGTGGTGTGCATCCCCATATGCATGAGGATGTAACATCCAAAGGGGTTGTTTTTTGTTTGTTTGTTTGTTTTTGTAAAATTCAGTTCTGCCTGCAGGGTGGAAGGGTTTACAATGGGCTTAACTCTCTGACGGGGCATTTAGTCAACATAAAACTGGATAATGTTATCCTAGAAGTTCCAAGGCACATGGATGCTAAAACAGTTGAACAGCTGCTATTTCTAGAATTCCATTAGGAACATCTAGCATTTGATGTGGTGAAGAGGAGAACTGCAGACGATAGGGACTGCCCTAGCATCCCCCTCCTGATTTTCAAACAGCATCGACCAAGTTCTCCGTTCCTCTATGTGCCAATACTTCAGACTGATTTCAGTAAAATGCAGACTTCACTATAACCAAACTATCAGATCAAGGGGGCACAGGCAAGCCCACATAGGTCTACTCCAGAGGAATTGTACTTAGGATGAGAAAGCCTGAATTCAAGTCCTCCCTCAGTTGTGAAATTTTCTGGGTGACCTTAAGCCAGTAGATCTTTCTCTGCTGAACTCCCTTGGCCAGAGCTCCTTGCACGGAGGATAAATAAAGGTAAGAATAAAAACCAGTCCTGAACATTCTGTCGCACTCTAGAGTGATAAAGGAACAGAACAGAGAACAGGGCCTTGCAGATGCAAAACGGTGGGTCTGTGCAGGAGCTAGTTTGGCTTTTCAGAGGCTTGGGTCACTGCGACCACCAGGGCAGGAAGCAGGAGAATGTAAGCTCAGTTTCTATGGAGAAAGATAAAAGCATTGCTTGGGGCCACAGTTATGGTAAGAGCCAAAGCACATGACAATCATTCGCAGGGATTCAGTGGTGAAGGGTGAAGTGTGCCTCTCTGGGATATGCACTGAATACAAACTTTTCTTCCACACATGCCCTGATTCAACAGGGAAAGGAACTGTCCCTTTAATCCAGCACAAACCAAACCTCCTTTCGCCCTCCAGGTTAAAAAAAAAAGACCCTCACTGATGCTACAAGGACAACAGCACAGCCTTATAAACTGGTCTGTGGTCATCTAAAGTTGTCTCATACACCATGGAGGCCGCTACTCACTTTTCTCTGTTGTACCTTGAGCAGAGCCAGCCCCTGCTTGCCTGAGATCCTTTTCTGCCAGAAATGCCAAGGCTACAGGGAAAGCCTAGGCTCTGTCATTCAACTCACCGCCACTCCCCACATCTCCACCTTCAGGGTTTTGAACTCACATTCCAAAGATCTTGGAAGGGGTTGACAGAAACTGCATCAGTTTGGCTATCTAAATACTTACAAATGCGCACTCAGCATGTAGCATTTTTGATAATCCATATACAACACTGTCTTTCAGGAATGAGAAACATTTTTTCCAGCGCCACACAGAAGTATGCACTGAAAAGACGACCCCCAAACCCTCTTTTACCAATCGTTAACACCCCCAAAACTGAATAGCTAAAGGGAGTTAATGAGTAATGAATCAGATAAGTGCTGTTGAATATGTGCCCAGAAATTGTATGTGTGCATGCATTTTCCTCAACTCAGTTCCCCGGGGCAGCATATTTCTCATGAAAGCAGCAGGTGCCCAGTGGGAAATCTTACCCTAACCAGGTTTGTTATAAAAGCACACAGACACACTCGCCAAGCGCACAAGCAGCAAAGGCAGGTGCATACATTCCCAATCCCCGACAGCAACTATGAGCACTTTTTCTGTCAGAAAAACAAGAAAAAATGAAGAGTTACGGAGGACAGACAGGAGAAAGCTAGATAAAACATTAGAGAAAGAAAAAAGGGGTGGTTACAAAGAAGGGAAGAACAGTATTTATTTTCAGTTTTTAACTTTCTCCCCTCCTCTATTTATTTGTAAGAAACGACCTAGATCTTTATGTACTCCATGTACAGTTACCTTTATGTACAAAAAATCCCCCCAAATCTGGTTCCCACTGCAGTTTTCTCTCTACTGCACAAAACGGGACCAGATCCACGTTGGAATAACCCCTGCCGCTATGGGTACCAAGAAAGTTTTTCGTGCGACGGGTGCTGGAGCGGTGGGAGCAACAAGCAGCCGGCTCCTATACACGTTTACTTGGAGGTAAGACCCAGTGAATTAATGGGACTCTCAGGTGAGTGTGACCGGGACGGCAGCCTTGGATCCCTCCCTTTCTGCTGATTCTTTCGCGGGGTTGGCGGAGTGTTCGCCCTCTCCAGAAATAATGGGTTGTGTTCTTTTATTTACCCTTCTCTTTCAAATCCCTGGAGTTTCCAGCTGCTCAAGGGTTAATGGCTTGACCCGGGGTTGCCTCCTCCTCCTCCTCACCCCCGGGCGGGGTAGTGCGGGGGGTTCCCAGCCGGATCCAGTCCCCCACCACGGCCGGCCGCGGGAAACCCCTGGTGCGGAGCGGCGTCCCCTTGGGGGCATCAGCGGCTGCTCTGTAGGGGGCGGGGGACGCCCGGGTCACTATGGATTCAGCAGCAGCCTTCTGACCCAGGAAGCTCAACCCCGGATACAGCCGGCAGAAAGAAGCAGGGGAAAGACAGCAAGCCCCCTTTACTGAACAGCCGCAGCCAGGGCCCTCTGCTGGCTTCCTGGAATTTCCTACTCCATCCATGAAGCATTTCCGGCAGCCGGTAGATAGCCGCGCTGGGCCATCAAAAGTCATCACCCCAACCAGACAGCGAGCAAGTTTTTGGGTTCTATAGATCTCTTCATCAGGTTGGATTTTGCCCGGGAAGAGGATAAAAAGATGTGTCCAGGCGCTAAGGTTATCAGTCTCCAGGTGGTGCCTGGAGATCTCCTGGGATTACAACGGATCTCCAGGAGATGGGGATCAGTTTACATGGAGAAAATGGCTGCTTTGGAAGGTGGACGAGGTGGCATTATAACCCGTTGAAGTCCCTCTCTCCCCAAACCCCGCCCTCCTCAGGCCATAGCCTCAAAATCTCCAGGTATTTCCCAACCCAGAACTGGCAACCCCGCCAGGCACGTTGGAGAAGTCTTTAGTTTGCAGACTGGCGGTTATATGGGTTTCTCCAGCAAAAATCAATCATGGCATTATATTCAGAGCCAACATGAAGGACGTATAGAGTCTCAGTTACCAGCTATCATTGCTTCTAGGAAACGTGTATTAAGATTGCCAACTGACCAGGAAAACACCAGGTCTGGGCTGCTCTTGTGACCAATGTTCCCTCTAAGCCGTGGAGTCTTGTGAGCAAAAATTCTACTTTGTGAGCTACTGGCATTAAAGTTGTGAGCGAGCGATTTGGCTGCTGCATAAATTAGTTTGCTCTGGAGCCCTCCTTCCTGAGCTAAGAAAAAAATGTGTGAGCTGGAGGCTAAAAAACTGAGCTAGCTCACACTAACTCAGCTTAGAGGGAACACTGCTTGTGACCTAAGTAAGCAATGTTTGCCCATCAAACTGCTTTTAAAAGCACAGCCAAGAGGGCTGGATAAAAAGTTGTAATCAAATAGGATTGACAAGTTGTTGAAATGCTAAATTTAAGATCATAACAGGATAGGGAAGTATTATTTGCCCTGTTGGGGTAAAGTTAAGGTTACCTCTGCTAAGCAAACGGGGGGCCATTTCAGGTCAGAAAAATGGAATGAGGGGGAAGAATCAGCAACCACTTGAGCCACCGCAGCTCATAACAGGATAGGGAACTATTATTTGCCCTGTTGGGGTAAAGTTAGGGTTACCTCTGCTAAGCAAACAGGGGGCCATTTCAGGTCAGAAAAATTGAATGAGGGGGAAGAATCAACCCTTACTCAGTGCCATGGACCCTATCCAAATTGGCCCCTGGCATGCCTCAGATTCAGATTTTTAAAAATCCCTGGGAACTCAAGACGTGCAACTACCAACATGTCCGGCTTGGCCCTCACAGTGTGTGTGTTCTCTGCCATCAAGTTGCTTCTTACCTATGGCGACCCTATGAATTAATGACCTTGAAAACATCCTATCGTTAACAACCTTGTCCATTTCTTGCAAACTGAGAGGCATGACTTTTCATGATTGAGTCAATCCATCTCATGTTGGGTCTTCCTCCTTTCCTGCTGCCTTCAGCTTTTCCTAGCATGATTGTCTTTTCCAGTGAGCCTTGTCTTCTTATGGTGTGACCAAAGGACGATAGCCTCATGTTTTGGTGTACTCCCTGGCTCTGTGTTGTGTATGGGCTGAAAAAGATTCTGATTTACGTTCTCAGCAACTGGAAGAGATGGCAGAAGATGAAAATGTTCTCTCCGTATTAGCTCTGGCAAAGAGATGCGGATTGGAGGGATGCTACTTGTACAGAATCAAGAAAGACTTTCCTAGGCAACTATTGATTGATGGAAACCTATGGAAAACAAACCTATCACGAAAAGCCTTCATGGGTCTACAATGTGGGGAGGGCAGGATATAAGTCAAATGAAATAAATAAAAAATAAAAATTTATTCTGTGTTGCTGATAGAAAAGTACTCTCTGGGATAAGAGAGGATAGCAGGGGAAGACGTTTTTTGTCCCCCTTGATCTTTTAATTCGTGTAACACAGTCTTATTGCATTGGTCATTGTACATAGTATACTGGGAGGGGGGTTCTCTTTTATAATTTCACAATCCAGTTTGAGTCTCTACATGAAAGGTGGACAAAAAGTAAATAAACACATTTGGAACTTGTAGGATGGTACCTGGATGGAGTTACTGCCTTCAGTGTCTAACAGTCTGGGGGCTATACCACTGATGACAAAAAACCACCTGGTCTTTGAGCTCCTTCATAAATGTGCAGTGGGCTACAGTACTGGGGTACAAAGTAATACCCAGGCAGGTCTCAGTCCATTTTATTTGACTCACAGAAGATCTAGATCTATGGCACTCTTATTCTTAAACACTACCACCCACACCAGAGCCTTTACTCTTAGCCATTACCTTTTTTTGAGAGACAAGTTAAACTTACTTGAGAGACCGAGAGAAAAACAGCCGTAAGCATAAAATGCTTTTTAATTTTTTTTATTCCCCTAATCTATTTGATTCACAACACACACAAATTCCCGCTCACTTTTGGACACAGCTGGATCAGAAAGATAGCATTCTTTCAGGACAGTGACCACCAAATTCCTGATAAACAAACACTGGTGTTATCTTAGGGAGCAACAGACATTACCTCTGACAGGAGTTGGGTCAGGGTTCCTTTAGTTTTTACAGTGGGGCAAATGCCCTCCCATAGCCATTTCATCTTGAAAAAATGGCATGGAAGGAAACGCCCCTTCTCCTCCTTCACCACCCTCCTGAGCTGAATTAAGTCCTGGAGCACATGGAAAACAGTCGTTTCCTGACAGTTGGGTTGGAGAAACCTTGACCTGACTCGTGTCTGCGGTAATGTCTAGTTCGGCCTTGAATCTCTGGTAACGGCCGCAATTGGAAAGCCATAATTTCTGCATTTTTAAAAATGTTCTTATTCCCAACATCTTTTAGAAGGCTGGACCACTTCCCAGAGATGGTGGACATCTATCTAGATTTCTAGGCCCATGGGAGAGGCTGTAGAACCAGCTGTTAAGGCGCGGCACTCTGACCCTTGCTACCATCATCCTTCACTCTCACTGGCCGTTTTATCCAATGGGGATGGTGGGGAGAGAAGCACTGTGGAAAGATGCTCCCCAGTCAATTGCTGGTTGGCCTGGAAGTGGCTGAGGAGCGTACCTTATGGCTGCCAGGTAAGTCTAGAGGGCTACCTCCTTCCTTTGCGCTGACAGTAGCATACTATCAAGACAGACTGGCATGACGTCCAGAAAGAAGGGGCAGAGGACAGTTTCACCAGATCTCTTCTTGGAAGGAGATAGATGTCCTGGGTTGCTCCTTGGAAAACAGAGGATGTGGTGAAATCACAGCTGGGCCTTTAAAACTGGGCTTTTACTTCTTTGTTTAGACAATGAAGCACTCAAGTTTGACATGTACAATGCCTGAAACTGGCCTCCAAGTGGATTCTCTACCATGAAAGAAACCTCCAGCCACTAGCGCAAACAAGACCTACAAAATTCACCCGGCTCAGGGTACACCAGTAAGAAGGGAAATGTTCAGAAGTGGTCTGGGAAGAATTGGGCAGGGAGCTGCTGGGGGGAGGGCAAAACATTAATGTCCTGAATGTACAATATGTGAAATCATTGTGTAGATGCCAAAACGTCAAAACATAACAGAAAACACCACCTCCTGAATAAAAGGCAGGCCCACGATATCCTGCGAAAGAAGTCTTCATCTTGGGTCATCCCACATAAAGAAGTACCTTCTTGGCTTTGTAGCTGGACACTCCCCTTGTTCTGGCTTGGTCCCAGAGAACTGGGGTTCCCAGCTCTGAGGCCCTGAGGGATGGTGGTATTCCTTGCCACAGGCCTTCCAACAGAGCCAGTTCCTCTTCGTAACAGCCGGGTAGGGAACCTGCTCCAGTAGGTTGGCAGTGTATATGTATATGATTGGCAGTGGGGTCACCAAAAAAGATCCCCAAATACCTGTCATAGTTGACTCCCTGTTCCGCATCATATCTGATCCCTTGTTAATACACCGTCCCACTCTACTCTATTTAATCTACCCATCTAATCTACTCACCTCACCACAACCCAATCCAAAGCCCATTTCCAAAAGTCCGCTCTCTGACCCAGGGTCCCCCAGAAACATGCCCTCTGGCCCAAAACCATTGCTCAGTCACAGCACATGTCCTTTGCTCTTAGAAGGCTCTGGTTCAACCTACAAACTCTCTTGCTGAAGGACACCAGGCAGCAACAGCAGAAATATGTTTGACGCAGTACAAGGCATGGATTCAGTTTGCACAAATACATATTCTACATTTGGATTTAATTTGATACTTTTTCTTATAGGCCCACAAGGTGACTAAGCTAATCATACAATCAGCATAATCAAGGTTTTCCTGCACTGCTGGGGAGGGGAAGGGAGATTTCACACAGAACAATAACATGCAAGGCAGCAAGAATGAACCTTTCTCTCTGATATGCTTAATTTTTATTTACTGGGAGTATCATCATGGGGGACTATTTAAACACGCAGCCTCCTACTTGTGGCCTGAATTGGTGCAGTCTAGGATGATCTTTACCACTTGATTCTGCTGATTGTATAAACTGGCCCCAAATCTACAGGCTGAAATAATTTTTTATGTTTACAGGCAGTGCTGTCTGCAAAACAAACAAGATCAATTCTGACATTTATTACCTATGCTATGTCTGCCCCCCCAGTTGGACCCAAACAGATAATAGCCACATATACTAAGCTTATTATTCTTTTAACCTGTTAAAAACACCTTCATTCTTCTGTATGCTAATTTACTACCCACCCTTTATATGTATCTGAGGAAAGTGTGTGCGCACATGAAAGCTCATACCTTGAATAAAACTTTGTTGGTCTTAAAGGTGCCACTGGACTCAAACTTTGTTTTGTTGAAATGCAGGTTTCCCTGAAATTACTACAGACTGATGCTGGTGTTTTACATGCAGCAAAATGAGACTGAAAGGCGGTTGTGTGAGTGGACTGTACCACTCCTCACTATAGATGGTAGATACCATATGTGAATGTTCTCACAAGTTAAAACCCTACTTGCAAGCAGAGAGCAAGCAGAACAGGGAGAAAGGTTCTAACCCAATTCTGCTTGCTGTGCTGACATTCTACTTGCAGGGATTGTTTTTTCTTTAACTGGAGGGGCATTATAAAATATGGTCTCACAGTCTGAAGTGGGGGTGTACTCTTCGGCTGTCTACGACTTGTTGCATGAGCAGACAAGGCCTGTGTGTGGTTGCTTTATGCCGTCTTAATTTGGGGAATGTGTGTTTCACAAATACAGACTGGTTTATCTGGTGTGGCTTCCCCAAGGAACACTGGGAATTCTTGTTCGGCCAAGGGGCTGGGTACTATAGGGGATTTCTCAGCACCTTCACAACATGGCAGTTATTGGCCAGATAAACGAGTTTGAAGCCAAGTATCCTACTGAAACATAGAACAGCCTTCTGGTCCAGCATGGAATACATGTAAATCTTGATACAGGTGGGGCAAATATCAGGTTAGTATGAACACAGTATCAGGTTAGTATGGGGTCGCGAAGAGTCGGACTCGACTGTGCGACTGAACAACAACAACAACAAATGAACACAGGCCCAGATTTAGGCTGCGGTCACACAAACAAAATAATCAACTTTCAGTCCACTTTCAAACTGGATTCTGCCAGTTCACACAGTAAAATCCAGTTGGAAAGTGCACTGAAAGTGAATTGGAAGTGGATTATTTCGTGTGTGTGACCACAGCCTTAGAGTCAAAGTATATGTTGAAGAGACCTTTGTAAACTTTGCTTACTTGGCATAAATTATTCTGATTTTGGGTTTTGTAAAATCTGAAACATTGCAGCAAGGAGGGCAAGTTATCTTACCTTGCATGGCTACCTGGCAGGCGTAGTTTAGCCATTCAACAGGCAAAACTCCTCCCTACATGGAGCTGCAGTAGTGTCAAAAGCTGTGTCGGTTGCCCTGACCTCGATAGCTCAGGCAAGCCTGATCTTGTCCGGTCTCGGAAGCTAAGCAGGGACGACCCTGGCAAGTAATTGGAAGGGAGACCTCCCAAGGAATATCAGGACTTGGGACACAGAGGCAGGCTATCAAGCCACCTCTCTGAAATGTTCAAACTCCACCAGGGGTCTCCAGAAGTCACCATGACTTCCAGGCATGCAAGCACGCACACACACACTCACAAAAAAAGCTTCATCTGTTGAATTTCTTCATGTCATGCTTCCCTTAAATGTACAAGAGCTTTGCAAAACCAAAACGGCAGCATGAGGCAGAAAGAAAAACATGGCACAGGGCTACAATAGTGGAATGAGGGAAAGGAGCTATGTAAGACACCATAAGCTGGTGTAGTATAGTATTTAGGGCTGGACTAGTGCCATAAACAGCCAGGTTCAAATTCCCCTCTCTGCCATGAAGCTCATTGAGTAACTTTGGACAGGCCATTCTCTCTTGCCATAACGGTGTCTTGTCAGGGTAAAATGGAGGAAGGGAGAAAATTTATGTCATACTGAGCTCCTTCAAGGGAGTAATAAACAGATATACTAACCTTTGCACAGCATATTATCAAATTTTCTCTGTAAATGGGGCAATGGAGTGAGGGACATTAAAGTGAAGGGCGGGGGAAATAAAACCTGATGGTTTCTCCTCAGAGTTGGGCCTCCCACTTCTTCCTTTGGCCAGGTCAGCCCTTTCCTTCCATCCTCATTTCCCTTCCAGTCCTTGTCAACGGCCTGCTCTACACATGCTGCAGTAATAATGAGGGTGATACTGGGGAGGGCGTAGAACTGACTGCATCGCTTCAGCTGGAGGACTGCAGGCTCCTCTCCCTAAAAGATGGTCTTCAAGGAGACTCCTAGTACAGCAGGGAACAGGGAAAGCCAGAGCTTTTCTCTATGAAGTGCCAGGTATTAAAGTATTGACGGGCATTTTATTTTGTGGGGGAGCATTCAAAAAGGGAATCCTCTGTCCACCTATGGTCTGAAGTGGTACAGTCTCCCTCTACACTTCTGGATTCTATCACATCATTTCGCTGCATGAGTAGACCAGGTCTAAAACACTTTGAATTCTTCAAAAAACCCAAATATCGTAGTCGGGAGTCATTTATGCAAATTAAGCATGTTTAAGATGTGCGTATGGACTTCCACCATGTATTATGTATATAGAACCTAATTTTTGTTTCGTTGACGGAGGATTGTTTCCCATTCTTTTTTTCGCTACGTGACTGTTTTCTGGGCCTAGTGTATGGATACGTTCATAACACTGTCCCAAACCCTTCCTACAAGGCCAGTTTGCTACTCAGAATCCAAGTCTTGGAGACAGACAGGGCCCCTCAGAGGATGCGGCCTACCTTCAGAAACTGAGAAGATTCGATTGCCATCTTGGTCCCAAAAGGCAGGTGTTACTAAGGGGGACAAATGAGATAAACAAAGGAATGAGAAAGTTTCTATCTTTCGTGGGACCTGACATCAGGGGAAATGGACCTACTAAAAAGTTCAGCGACACCTGAAGCCTTGCCAACCTAAGTTGTTCCTACAGGATGTCATTTTCCTTCCTTTATAGCTCAGAGGCTTAAATGAAACATTGGGCCAGAGAACATATTTGGACAGGAGCAGCCCCCAATGGGCTTTGGACTGGGCTCATATCCCTGGGGAACTCTTCTTGACAGGAGCTCTGAATGTCTGCCAGCTAGGGACAGGGTTCCCCACATGGGGCCTAATGCTCTTTAGGATTGCATAGGGCCTTTCTAGCCCCTTAGCACGGTACAATATCCTCACACTTTGTAGAAGCTGGTATGAGCATAGTCTCTTCCATCGGGTGGGCGTGGTTACGGAGGTGCCTGTAGAGATATGCGGTGCCACGGAAGCGGCGACCACACTGGGGGCAGGGATACGGCCTGTCGTCTGCATGCATGCACTGGTGCCTAAGCAGGGCCGATGCATCAGCACAGGGCTTCCCACAGTCACCACAAGTGCGGGCAGAGAGTTGAGCACCGTCTGAGTCGAGGTGGTGGGCGTGCTGGTGGCGCTGGAAGTGCAAGGTGCTGTTGAAGCTCTTGCCACAGTCCGGACAGACGTGAGGCTGGCCGCCAGCATGGGTGCGCTGGTGCCGATAGAGGTGAGAGGTGCGCCCAAAGCGCTTGCCGCAGTCCCCACAAGAATATGGCCTTTCCCCAGTATGAATGCGCCGATGCCGTTCCCAATGTGAGCTCCAGGTGAAGCTCAGACCGCACTCTCCACAGTGATACGGCTTGTCGGCCGAGATGTGCAGGCGTCGGTGCTGGGCCAACTGGGTTCGAGCACCAAAGCTCTGCCCGCACTCACCACACCCATAGGGCTTGTCGGCGGTACCATGGAGCCGACGGTGGCGAGCCAGCTGTGACCGTCCTCCAAAGCTTTGTCCACACTCTGAACACTGGTGGTGTTGGTCACCACCCATTAAGTGCAAACGCTGGTGTTTCACCAAGGCTAAACCATCAGCAAAGGCCTTGCCACACAGGGTGCATTTGTAGGGTTTGCGGCCACGGTGGGTCCGCTGGTGCTGGTCGAAGTGCAGTGTGGTGCTGAAACTGCGCCCGCAGTAAGTGCAGATGTAGGCGCGGGTGACGTTAGCGGCAGCATTGGTGCCGTGGGTGCGCTGGTGCCGGTAAAGATGGGAGCTGCGGCTGAAGCGCTTGCCGCACTCGTTGCACGGGTAGGGCTTCTCCCCAGTGTGGATCCGCAGGTGCCGGGCGAAGTGTGAACTCCACGAGAAGCTCTTGCCGCAGTCGCTGCACTGGAAAGGCAGGCGACCGGTGTGAAGCCGCTGGTGAGTTACCAGCTCCGTGTTGCGGCGGAAGCACTGGCCACAGTCGGCACACTGGTAAGGCAAGCCACGGGAGGGCATCAGGGAGGCCGGGGGAGTGACCGCCGCCGCGTTAGCATTGGCATGGGCCCTCTGGTGCCTGTACAGGTTGGAGCTGACATTGAAGCTCTTGCCACACTCTCCACAACAGAAGGGGCGCTCCCCCGTGTGCGTGCGCCGGTGCTTGCTGTAGTGCGAGCTGCAACTGAACACCTTCCCGCAGTCTTCGCACTCGTATCCCTTCTGCAGAACCATGATGGGTGGCCCCTCTCTCGTTAAAACCTTGCCGCCGCCACCAACCTGTTGCACCACCCTCCAGCGGAGGCTCTTACATTCCCCAGAAACCATGCTGGCATCCAGCTGTACCACCTTAGGACCGTCCCGCTGTTGAACATCTTCCTCCTCACTCTCCTCCTCCTCCTCACTGCCCAGTCCCTCACCTGCTGGAAGACACAGACATGACAACTTGTTACATAGGATCAGGGGTCATTTTGTAGAAAAAGAGCTAGGGGAACTCATTAGCATAACTCATTAGCATATGCCACACCCCCTGACATCAGGGGCCCGGCGGTGGACCTGCAAGGCCGGCGGGAGTGCAAGGAAGCCCTGCCAAGGCCCTCCCTGGCCCCAGGCAGGCAGGGGTGGGGAGAGGCGGGGAGGAAGCAACTTACCCTCCCTCTTCTCCTGCCTCCTCCTGGCTGAATGAGGGCTGGAAGCGGGGCGGCCAGAAGCAGGGGGCGGGGCTTCATCGTGTGCCCCGCCCCCTGCACCTCACCCGGGGGAACTGTGTTCCCCCGCGTTCCCCCCCAAAATGACCTCTGCATATGATCACCTCTGTATTGAAAGAGACAGTGACAAACAGATGCTAGGACATTTATTTCCTGAGGCATTTCATTATGGTATAAAAGTTCCAGTTAATTTCTTCCTAACCTGGGACTTCTGCTTTTAGACCTCATGGTTCCACCCAGAACTATATAAGTCAAAATTGTCAGGATACCCATTTCTATGCCAGATGCCACATTCTGTAATTCCCTAGGGGAATATACATATGCTCGTGGTAGACACAGATCTGATAAATGTGGGAAGAGGGCACATATTTCAAGCTCAGGTGAGGTTTATTGACTGCATAATGAAAATGATCCAGAGGTTCTGCTGTGGACATCCATCACATTTTTACCCCGCTCTTCATCTGAGGAGTTCAGGACAATATACATGGTTCACTCCTCCTCCATTTTCTCCTCACAAGAACCTGAAACGGAGGGGACCCACACTGCCTCCCTGATGAATCTGGGGAACCTGCTTGGTGTTGAGATATAAACCTTTCCCTCAGTTACAAGATGTTCTTAGCATAGTATGGGTGAAGGCTTTGGGTTGCTGCTGTGAGACAAGTTTTGTATTGATCCTGAAGAATACAGAGGTCACAGAAGCAGGAAGTTTAATAAACCAACAAAGAAGATTTATTTATATACCGGTCATGTGGTAAATTCTTTTTAAAGCTTGTAGTTATCAGGTCTGCTTATCAGCAGAGACAGGCTTCATGACTCTGTCCTCACCCAGAGATAAAGTTAAACCAGTCTGCCACACTACCAGGCAGAGCTACGCACGAAATTGTCTGCTCCCTTGCTGAGACAATTCCCCTTCCTCTGTCTAAATGATCCCTCAACTTCCAGCTCCTGTGCTCTAACCTCCCATTCCCCCTCTGAAAGAAGACTGGATGCTAGAGCAGCACCCTCATTGGCTCAGGTGTGAAACAGCTGAGTGGCTGTTTTACCTCTCAGGGGCCGGACAGCCTCCTGCCCATCACAGTCACTCAATGATTTGCATGGCTAAGTGGGGATCTGAACGTAGGTCTTCCTAGTCTGATGCTCTAGCTAGCCTCTATACCTCCCTAGCCCTCTTGGCCTAAAAAGCGATCCACTCCTCCTCACCTAAATTGGCTCTTCTTGGGTTCTCCCTTCTTCCAGGCTCTGGGATGCAAGGCTCTTCTTCATCTTCCACAAGGAAAATCTCATTGGATTCAGAACTTGAAGATCCTGCTTGGAGGGAAAAAACAAACAAACAGAAAATCTCAAAGGCTCAAGACTTTTTGGGTCCCATTCTAGCCATGCTTCCTTGACCCACCTTTTGCGGCTGCTTCCGCCCCCAGTCTTACAACCAATATGAAATACTTGCTCAAACATGTGCAGATATACAGTCCATCTTGTGGAGAGGCAGACTGTTTTAATTTGTCTGGACTGCATGCTACTTTTGTTTTTCTTTGGCCTGCCTGGGCCAACTGGATCCAGTGATAATATGCCAAGTTGAATGTGAGCTTTGGTTCCGAGTTGCCAGTTCCTAAGAATGAAAACTCCAAAGAGTTATGGGCTAGTTCACACGTCAATGTTGAACAAATAAACTCAAAAAGTTGCCTTCTACTGAGTCAGGCCCTTGGCCCGTCAAGGTCAGTACTGTCTACTCTTGACCTGAATCAGCTTTCTCATAGTCTCGTTACCTGCAAGCTGATCCTTTCAGCTGGAGCTGCCCAGGCTTGAACCCAGAACCTCCTGCATGCAAAGCAGACGCTCTATTGCTGAGCCACAGTCCTACCCTCATAGCTTAATGAAGACAATGTCAAGTGAGGATTTACATGTATGAATGGGCCATCTCATACCTAAGCCCAGGGATATAACTTTCATGACACCCGTCCTCCAAAGCAATGATTTTCAATGAAGCCTGTTCATCTATTGAGCTGCCAACTGTCATCAGTACAGTAATCAATGGAAGGAAATCAAGTGTGCCTTTATACGTTAACTAAGCTCAAGCAAGTGACTGTCCCTGCATACTAATCTAAGGTTTACATATAGCACCGGCTCCCTCAAAGTGTCTATGCAAGCATCTTCCAGTCCATAGAGGAAAGTAGAATAAAAATATTGGTCCTGGAAGTAGCACTGCTGAGCCCAGCCATTAGGATACCAATTTCAGTTCCCTTTCACTTCTGCCTTTCGATTAAAAATGCCCCATGGCCCCCCACCTGGATAGCCCAGGCAAGCACAATCTCGTCAGATCTCAGAAGCTAAGCAGGGCCGACCCCGGCAAGTAATTGGAAGGGAGACCTCCAAGGAATACCAGGGCTCAGAGCGCAGAGACAGGCAATATCAAGACACCTTTTTAAAATGTCCAAACCCCACTAGGGGTCGCCAAAGGTTGCTATGACTTCCAGGCATGCAAGCACACACACACACACAGAGACAAAAAACCCACAATAAAATAAACTTGTTTTTAAAATAAGAACATAAAAGAACATAAGAGATGCCAATGTTGGATCAGGCCAAAGGCCCATCCAGTCCAACACTCTGTAACACACAGTGGCCAGAAATACCAGGTGCCATCAGGAGGTCCAGCAGTGGGGCCAGGACATTAGAAGCCCTCCCACTGTTGTGCCCCACGGAAGCCCAATTTCAAAAGAATCCAGCAGAGCAGGTTTTTTATATCGTATGTTTTATCCCCCTGTTCCTCCAAGAAGCTCAGGTTGGCGTACATTGCTTGCCTCTCCCCCTGTTTTATCCTCACAACGATTCTGTGAGGTAGGCTGGGCCGGGAGAGAGCAACCGACTGGCCTTGGGTCACTTAGAGAGCTTCCACAGCAGAATGGGGATATGAACCTAGATCTCCCAGATTCTAGTGTGACACCATAAACGCTACTCCACACTAGCTCTCAGGTAGATTCTCTCTGACCCCTCTAGCAACAGCCATGGCCAAACTTGAACTAGCTTCCTGTGGGTTGCAGAACAGGTGGAAACTTCTCATGCGCCCACAAGGAGAGTCACTATGTATGATGGCATCTCTGGTGAAAACCCTCTCTTTTAAGCATTTGAAAGTTCTGAGAGGAAATCAGTTTTAAACTGGAGAAGGCCTGGAGGAAAAGATTGAGAGGGCTGAAACATAAGCCTAGTCTATTTTTACAAAGGCTGGCAGCAGACAGCCGGTCAATCTAGGGTGGTGCAGGGCCTCGGATAGCTCTGAAGGACTGCAGGAAGTCGTGCCAACAAATTCACAGTTTGAATCCTGACATCCCCAAGCAGGACCGGATCACTGTGAGAGCTCCTGTTTTCCATTTGAAAACTTTTGGAGGGCAAACAACCTTAATTAGTTGGTAGATACATGCAGAGGTCATTTCGGGGGGATCGCGGGGGATCGCAGTTTCCCCGGGTGAGGTATAGGGGGCGGGGCACATGACGAAGCCCCACCCCCTGCTTCCGGCCGCCCTGCTTCCGGCCCTCATTCAGCCAGGAGGAGGCAGGAGAAGAGGGAGGGTAAGTTGCTTCCTCCCTGCCTCTCCGCCGGGACCGTTGGGGGTGGGGGGTGTGGCCTTATGACACACTTCCGGTGATGTCAGGGGGTGTGGCATATGCTAATGAGTTATGCTAATGAGTCCCCCTAGCTCTTTTTCTACGAAACGACCCCTGGATACATGCCCAAAAAGCTCAGTACTACTACTCTTAGGCGGGGGCCTTAGAGAGACCTCTGGGGAGTTAGGCTCACTATCTGGTGGAATTCAAGAGTAGTGATTCCCCTTGAATAGAGTAGTCATTATTGAATAAAAAACTGTCAGTGAGGACTGAGGCCAGGGCACAACGTTTGCCGCCTTGCCTGATTCTCCATGAAAGCAGACCTTAGTCTGCCTATGTTATTTTCAGTCTCAGCAGTGCAAACTGACAGGCGGTGCGATGTGCCCAGAACTGAAAGAAGCTTACCTAGCACACTAAGAACAAAATCTTTTTAGTGTACAGATTCTTGCTAGAGGTGGTGGAAGTGTTAATATTTTCCCCCTTTGTTTCTATGCATTTAAGGTCAGTGAATAAACACCTCTATGTGTTCAGAAGCCTCCAGATGCCTATTGTAGCTATTGGGTCTGACAGTTACTACAGGCGCAACTTGAAAAAGAGCCCAGCCAAAGCAAGGCAAGTGTTGTCTGAAAGCCGCTATATAATGCCCTTCTCTTAGGTCTGAGCGCTTATGTTATATGACAGAGATCCTTACTGAGTGCCACCAGACTTTCACAAGGCTCTTGGCGTGTTTCCCTGTAGATAGGCTTCTGGTTAGGATCTACAACGAGCCACTCATCCTCCATGATCTGGCACCAGCCCAGTTCCTTACAGATGACAGGACCTGAAACAAGAAGAACATCTACCAACACCATACTTAGCACCTGCTGCTCAAGGTTTGTAACAGAAACATTCCTCGCTTAAAGCGTTGATCTAGTTTT